GCGCCGCCGCGCCGCCGCCGCCGTCGACGCGGCGCACCGCCGCACCGCGGCCCGCTCGGCCGCGGCGGCGCCGACAGGCGCGACCACGCGCGCCGCGGCGCGACCGCGCGCGCGAGGACCGCGCGGCGCTGCGCCGCGGCGTCGCCGCCGCCTGGATAATTCCGCGGGGTTTAAAGACGGGTCGGCGGGACGAGTCCGCGCGTCGCTCCGCCTGGCTTCGGCGCCTCCGGCGCCTCCGGCGCCTCCGTCGCCTCCGGCGCCTTCGGCGCCTTCGGCGCCTCTCTTTTTTTTCTTTTTTTTTTCTTTTTTTCTCCTCGCCACTGGCCCCACATGAAAAAAGTGCCGTGTTTCAGTGGCGCTAGAACTAGAGAATCTCCCTTTCCGCGGACCAAAATACCCCAAACTGGCAAGTGAACTCCCTCAAGATAAAATTTTAGCAAAAATGCAGTCTTCAGGGCAAACTGAAACACCGCCGCTTACCTCGCCAGCTTGCATTTCAAGCTCCCTCATGCTATTTTGAGAAAGCTTGAAGGGCAGTTTACTAGGCTAGGCAGTGCCAGTGGGGGAAATTAAATCGCAAAATCGTAAGGGGTTTGGGGTATTTCGGCTCCGCGGAAGGGTTCTGGAAGGGTTCAACGTTCTGAAGGGCTTCTGGCACGTGGTTTGGGGCGGTGTTGCAGTTCGCCCTGTCTACGCTCTGAGAACCGTTTGTACCAGCGAGCCATCGTGATGTTGCGCTCTATCTCTCTAGAAAGAGATGGCCATGGACCGCATGTCTTTGTGAATTTTTGTGTTTTAGCGCGTTCCTCCGATTCCGCGCGGCGCGCGGCCGATTTCGAGGAAAATCAAAATCACTCAGGCTCCTTCCACCGAGTGAAAATTAGAAGCACCCCTCCCTCCCCTGAAAATTAAAATTCACCCCTACTTAAATTAAATTAACTCCTGCTCCTGCTTCTACTGCTGTGGAAGCCTGGTGCAGTGGTCATCTAAGCGACAGACAATCACTGCAGGTAGTACCATGCAAGCAGAGCTTATAGCAGCATCAAGCGGGGCTGATAGTGGAGTCTGGTATATGTTTAGTTTGTGTTTACATGTATTTATTTCTTTACTTCAGCGGCCTGCAGATCGATCGACGCGATGTCGGTGCTATCGACGCGACCGCGAACGCGCCCAGATTTGGGACGACAAGAGGCAGCCGCGCCGGCGCTGCCAC